AGCTTTGTTGGTCATGAGAGAAAATTGTCTACCTACAGAGAACTTGAATACTCAAATCAAGATATACAGAAAAAAGAATCAGCGATCGCATCTTATGAGGACTAGGTCTCAAACACGAATGGAGTTTTGATTTCATGAAGAAGTATTGGGGTTATCTAAGCAGGGACCTTATATTGTACTTTGGGTTGGGCTAGTTTTTCTAACTTTCTTTCCTTTTCTTTCTTCTTTGTTCTTTGTTTGTTGTTTTTCTTTCTTTTTTCCCTTCTTGTAATTTCTGATTTCATCATTAATAAAGCTCTCTAATAATAATAATAATAATAATAAAAAAAGGTGTTTGCTATAGGTTTTGATAATGTTACTAATAATACTGCTGCTATACCTAGATTGCGTGAATTGTGTGGTTCTAATACTTTGATGGGTAGATTTTTCATCAACGATGTGCATGTCATGTTATAAATTTATGTGTGCAACACGGTCTAAAAGCGTTAGGATATGCTATGGAGGTAGTCAAGGGGGGATTAGACGTATTTGGGGTAATGGTCAACTTAAATTAAAATGGAAAAATTATTTGACTGAAAGAAGTGTGAAATATGTTGCTTTTCCTAAAGATTTGTCTATTCGCTGGAATAGTACTTATAAATTAACTAAAGTTCTTCTTAGATATAAAGAACATTTTCCTGCTTTTTTAAGACAATATGATAACTATATTTTAAACTCCGCTCACATCGACACTTGCGAAAAAAATTGTAATGTTTTGATATTTTTTAATAATGCAACTGAAAGTTTTAGTCATGTTTATAAACCTACCTCAAATCAATTTATTCGTGAAGTTGTTTATCTCACCGGTGCTCTTAATGAATTTGAGAATGCCGCTTACGTGAGTTATTTTTGTGGTTTTATGAAGGAAAACTTTTTAAAATATTATGCACATATTCCGCATATTTATGGTATTGCATTCATTCTCGATCCTCATTTTAGACTTGGTAATTTGGAAGAATGTTTGAAGTTCTATTATCATGCTTTTTTTGGTCCATTTCCAATGTATGACGATAACGTCATAGATCCGCAAGTTGAATACAACGAGGTTAGTAATTTATTTTATGTCTTATTTAATGAGTTTCATGCACAATATGGCAACACGCCCCCTCCCCTGACACAAACATCTTCATCTAAAGGAAAATCACTTTTTAAATCTGCTTTTGGCAATCTTATGAAAAACCTAAAACAACTCACACTACTGAACAAAGCGCACTTAATGAGATTTCTTTGTATATAAATTATGAGGTAGAATTTGACGAAAGTGATGACTTTGACGTTATAAAGTGGTGGAAGTCAAAAGAAAGAATGTTCCCGATTTTAGCACAAATGGCTAAGCAAGTGCTATCAATGCCGGTTTCAACAGTTGCCGTGGAACAAGAATTTAGTTCGGCCGGCAACGTCTTAACAGCATCTATAACGAGTTTGAGCGCAAAGTCTCTTGAGACGCTTATATGCTATCACGATTAGTTGAAGGCCATACGTATAACTCAAGAAATTAGCATCACCCCTCCCAAGACTTTATGAATGAATCAACAACCGAGGGTGGCTCCTATGCCAGAGATTCCGATTAATTAGTACTCCCTTCGTCCCATTGGACTTTGCCAATTTTCCTTTTTTACTTGTCCCAAAAAACTTTGTCACTTTCCTATTAAAGCAACTAATTTGTGGTTCTGCACATTTTTCTCTCCTCTACACAAATTTCAACCACACAGTTTTTACTATTCTTATTTCTCACCTAATTTGCACTTTGCAAAGTCTACCGGGACGGAGGTAGTATTTTACAATTTATTTTAAAATGTATTTGATGTTTTAATTCTCCCCTCAATTCTCTATTGTAATTTGTAAACTTGTAGTTCATATTTCAAATAAATATACATTCATTTTTTTTATATGTAGAACTTCTCAAATTAATTAATTAGTTACAACTTACATCTTATAATTAATTATATTACGGAGTATTATTTGTTAGAAAATGTATTTCATATTGTATTTTTGTTCTCAATTCTCAAATGTAGTTCTTATTTCACATAAATGCCCTTGAAGTTGTATAAATAAGTAGGGGAAAAAAATATAGGCCCGACAGTTGTCAGGAATTATTTTATCGGATAACCTACTATCTGAATGATGTATTATCAATGTAAGCCCCTTTCATAAAAAAAAAGAAACAATATTAGATAACTCCATATTTATCATGACCCATAAATGGCAAATACTCATGATTAGTACATGATTAAAAAGTTTGGTAAAACCAAATGGACATTCCATCCAAAATAAATATCATTTCAATTCTATCACAACGTTCAAAATAGGTCAATAATTTGATGTTACTCTCGAGGATGACACCCCACCGTTAAAGGCTCCAACATCAGTCGAACATTTAAACGTGAGGATGTGAAATTGGATTTTAATCATAAATAATGAATGGATCTGTGAACTCTGAACCTAGCCATTTCATCCCAGTTGTCGTGAATCGAGCTCGAGACTTACCCCTTAAGGCACCAATTAGACCTGGACTCGGGCCGGGCGGCCCGGCCCGGAACCGGCCCGGCCCGGAACCGGACCGGCCCGGAACCGGACCGGCCCGGTTACTGTGAGGCCCGGCCCGGAGCCCGGTGGGCCCACCGGTTCGGTTCGGCCCGGCCCGGCTGCTGGGCGGTTCGGGCTCGGGCCGAGGTTTTGGCGAACCGGCCCGGCCGGTTCGGGCCCGGTTCGGTCCGATTTTTAATTTTTTTTTTTTTTGAATTTTTTTTAACTTTTGGGTTGGATTAGGTATTTTGGGCCATTTGAGGTGGTTTGGGGTAGTTTGGGGTTGAGGGGGAGGGGTTGGGGGTTAAATAGAAGAGCCAAAAAAAAAAAAAAAATCGGTTAGGCCCGGCCCGGCCCGGCCCGGTTTGGCCCGGAACCGGAACCGGAACCGCCCACCGGCGGTTCGGGCCCGGGCCCAACTATCCTGGCCCGAGGCCCGGCCGGGCCCAGGCCCGAACCGGGCCCGAACCGGCCCGAGTCCAGGTCTAGCACCAATTGTGTCGTCACATTTAAGCAAGGCAGGTGATGTTCCTAAACATTTAAGACCTAGAAAAGAAAATTTTAAATGAGTCTAACTTTAAAAAAAACATAGATGTTTTTTTTTACGAAACATAATAGATTTTTTCGAAACCACTGTTATAATAAAGAAAAGACCTAAATAGGTTAAATTAAATAATAGTACAGTGTTCATAGCAAAACTACAGTGTTTTTCGAGACCTAATCTTCAATAGCAAACATGGTCCATGCTCATAACAATTTTCGAAACTGGTTGGGTATTATTACTACTCCCTCTTGCCCGAACTGAATTGCAGAAGTTGATCGGTACAAGAATTAAGAAAGATTAGAAATTGATATTTACTTTATCAATTTGCCCTTTTGAGACCAAGTACTATGCAGTCTTTTCATTTTCCCTCTATTCATCTTGGACCGGTTATTTGCCAACAGTCCAACACCAACCCACCCACACAGGCCTTCATTCTTTTTTTGGTACATTCATGGACCAAAGGTACATTTTACTACATTTGTAGTACTCCCCTCGTAAATAATTTTTTTTCCCATCATACCCCCAATAATTTATATCCCCTTTCACTATTCTTAATCTACCTGCTTTTGAAATGAGAAGCTTTTATGTTAGAGGGAGTATTTTTCAAAAAATAATCTCTAAAATGTTGCCATGTACCCTCATTACATCAATGATGTTCCCATCATTTGAAGTGCATAATGGAAAAGTGACCATAATATGGCCCTCTGGGTTTGCTTCTATGCAAACCACCCACGCTAAGCCGGATGATCCTACATTGTTTAATTACTAATGAAGTGAGATTGATCCCTGTTTATCCCATCCCCCTAAACCCCCTCCCTCTGACACCCCCTGGGGTAAAAAAAAATGAGAAGAAAAATACTAATCCTACATTGTTTAATCACCTCATGTTGCTCTTTTCTTTTTTTAGCAGCATCTTTTTCTAGCAGCAGGGGTGTCAAATACGAGTATACAACATTCTTATTACATAGGAGAGACATGTAAGTTTAACACCATACTGAGCTACTATCACTCTTGCTGCTATCTGGAGTGTCTACAACCATATCAAAAGGCCAACCCTCTAAAATGAAACACAAATTATATTTCAAACATATTGTAGTAGATGAACATGGGAGGACAGGGTCGAAAAGGTTTACCTAGAGCAGGAGTGGAGAAGAAGTTGGAAGAGAACTGATAGATTTCAAATCTGAGGGGTAAGGTTAAAACAAAAGGAGGAATGAATTGGTGTTATTTTTAATACCCAATTCCATCAAAATGAGCTCAAATCCAAAAGAAGTAAATCCATGAAATGATTGGGGATACTAAGATTTTGATTTTTTTTTAATATCTAAGTCAAGGACACCTAGATTCGTGGAATTCTAAATTCCATCGAAATCTAAATTGGGGATACCCCTTAGTCAATGTTATAGCATAACAATCACTACTTCTAATAACATCAACTTTCTCCTTCATAACAAACCACAACTAGAAGTGTTTGTTTGAGATTGGACATTTGTAGATCTTATCCTTCTCCAAAATATGCATCAGAGCTTTGAGACTTTTGCAACATATATATACATCGAAATTGATGTCTTAACATCTTTGATGGCGTGAATTTGAAAAAAGCTGCTTTAAGTGTTGATGAAAACTTTAAAGTTCAGATTTCACACATACCATATCGAAAAATAATCTCACTGTCATATTTGAATTTTGAAAGTACAAATTACGAAGTAATTTAGAAATAAACTTATATCACTCACAAATTTTAGTTGTCTCAAGCTTCTAGGTATAGTTGAACGTAAAATAAGTGGTATGTTCCCAAATCAACATTCTTTTTTTGAGAAAGAGTCCCAAATCAGCAATTACTCTTCAACAACTGCCATAACTAACTCTTAGCGCAAACAATTAATATGGTCACTTAACTATTATGTTCATTAGGCTTTCGCAGAAAAAGAGTATAATTGTTCACAATAATGCCTTCATAATAAGTGGTATGTTCCAAATCAACATTTTTTTGAGAAAGAGTCCCAAATCAGCAATTAATCTTTAACAATTGCCATAACTAAATCTTAGACCAAACAATTAATACGGTGACTTAACTATTATGTTCATGAGGCTTTCGCAGCCAAAGAGTATAATTGTTCACAATAATGCCTTCATAGTCAATATCCTCCCTCTTCCTGAAACATAACCTAAGGGTTCATGACGTAAATAATATGTAATGTCATATATGGTTAGAAACATATGACGTTTGCACCAACCAGAACTCGTGATTTGGGGGCACATTAGCACAAAAATCATATATATCCCGAATATAGCAATAAATAAAACAATAAAATTTAAACACAACAACTAATTAAAGAGTACCTTAGTTTTGATTAGAATCTGATGCATCAAATAAATGAGAGTAATTGAGAGGCGGCAATCTTTGTATTTGAGGTGCCATACTCAGAAATCACTTCATAATGACATCATTCTCCATTTTAACAAAAACATCTTTCCTAATGGAACACACCAAGCAATCTGTCAAGTTTTCTTCTCCAATCTTGTTGTGCAATTCTCATCTTTCTTGGTTTGCTGCGATAATAAATAATCTACATTTTGCTTTTGGTTTTGAAACCCGGATCGTTGAATTTTTGCATAAAGATGTATGCCTCCTCCTTCGTGCTTACGGAATCTTTCCTTAGCTTTCTTCCAGTTATTAAACCCAACTTCAGTAAAAGCATCATCCCCATTTTTATGACCTCTAGCAAACAAATAGCACAAATGGCAGAATGCTGCATCCTTGACAACACTATATTCCAACCAATTAAATTCTTCAAACCAATGCTTTTGAAATGATCGATTGTGCCCACTAAATTCAGTCTGTGGAAATTTCATCCCACGTGGTTGGCAAGGACCTTTTGTCAAATAACGTCTCCTCATCTCGTCTCTAATGTTAACATCGTAAGTGTCAATCTGTTTACGCAATCCAGGATCACTAGTAATGTCATCATCCGACAATTCAACTTCTATTCGAGCCTTTTCAACATTATTTTCATTGTTAGGAGTGACATTATCTGACGAAGAAACTAAATTATTCGATGAAGAACCACCAATGCTCGTCTGTTTAGGTATCGGTGCATAATATCGTAGCATAGCGATTGTTTGTCAAACAACCTATCCAACTAAAATTCAAATAATATGAGTAATTATAAAAATTACATTATAATAAATTAACAATGTTAACTAAATCAATAAATCCACAATTACAAATTTACAACATAATTAATATTTTTAATAAGATTATGAGAATATAATTGCAAAAAATTCAGCAGTTTATTTGAATTCAACAAATAAAAACATTCAACAGTTAACATCTTATTTGAATTCATCAAATAAACAATTTTAAATGAAATTATCAAAAAACAATTAGGTTAAAGCATGAAGCGGCTTACCTGGAGTCTAGAAATGGGAGTACCGTCGCACTGAAGATGACGCCGGAAATCAGAAGAAGGACCGAAGGGTGGTCCGTGGTCTCCGTAGGTCGTCTTCGTCTCGTGACTCTCGTATGTCGTCCGGTCCCCTCCGTCACTGAGATGCTCGTTCCGTCGACCTTCGCTGGTGTGAAGCCCTGTGACCTCACAGTGTGAGGCTGTGATTCTACGCAGGGGCTAAAGGGCAGGGCCTTCACTTAGGTAGTTGGGGAGTTGGGCTGGCAGGGATTAGTCTGATGGTCTGGGTTAGATGGGCCGACAAGTCCGCACAACTGCACAATGCTAAGTAGGGGTGGGATCGGTCCGGTCTGGGTCGGGTTTTTGCTAAACCCGGAAATTATCTGGAAAGTCTCGGGTTATGAAAATTAGGGACCGGAATAAATCTCATTATATTCGGTCCGAGTCGGGTTTTTGGGAGCCCGGGTTCGGTCCGGGTTCGGGTTGGACCGGTTAAAGTCCGGACGTGAAATATGTCATTGTTCTTTTATATTTTAACACTTATTTTCAAATAAAATTAATCAAAAATACAAACCGCAACTAATAACACAAATATTGGTCTCCAAAATCACCAACAATTCAAATTTAAAGAAGATAATTATCTTAATATTTTATGTAAGATGTATATATATAAATAATATAAGTTTCTTAAAAATATTACGAAATAAATTTTATAAATCAAAATGTTACTAGAGTTGCTATAAATATATTCTCATGGTCATCATTACGCTAAACAAATTCAACATATTTATAGTCACTAAAAGTTACTAAATCTTTTTTTTATCCACCGTGATTATAATCATATATAGGAAATATTTTATTTATATTCATATACTATATTAATTTTATATTAAAACTAATTGTTTCGGGTTTTTTCGGTCCGAGCCGGGTTATAGATTTTAAGGCCCGTTAATGAGCCCGGAATTTTCAGTTTGGTCCATTTTTTTTTTAATTCGGGCCGGTTAAAAAGAAAAAACCCAGACCGGGATCATAATTCGGGTCGGTTTCCGGGTTTCGGTTCGGTTTTTCCTACCCCTAATGCTAAGGGGAAGGGGAATTGGGAGTGAACTAGGGCAGGGGTGGGTTGGAAAAATCGAACACTGAAAAACAAATCGAAAAAACCCGAACTGCAATCAAAACTACCGAACTGCAAGAAAATCAAAACTAAACTAAAAAACCGAACCGAACCGTAGTTGTTTGATTTCAATTTCGGTTTTCACATCTCAAAACCGAACCAAATAAAACGAACTTGTTTAAAGTTATTATTTTATTTATTAATCATTAAGTATAATATTTTGTTTAGTTCTAAATTCTTAATTCTAGAAAATTAATGTTTGATACTAGATTTATTATGATTTGCAATATATTGACATTTAATATATATTTCTTAATTAAGTGAAACGATGAAAAAATGCTTTAATTCGAATCCAAATTATGTAATCTTTTTGTCAGAATGCCTAGAAAGCCTAATGTAACCATTTAGATTTGTCTTAATTGGTTCGAAATTAGATTATAATCATAGATGTACATTGGTTGAAATGGAATAATCCATTTGCAATCACAAATAATAATCTAAACGAACTACACAGAATAGACTAATGATACACCCGATTCAATCCTATCGAATTTGTAAAACTCAAAATCCTTGTAAAACAATTCACATACTGAAAGTCTAATTCGAACATGCTGGAATCCAATTATGCATATAAAACACTCTGTATGTTTATATATTTGCATATACCGACTATTAGCAAATAAGTTCGCATATATTCATTATTTATAGATATTCCATTATATTCTGTCCTATGTTATAATTTGATAGAATGACATGCAGTTTTGTTGTGTCGTCTTTAAGGTATCCTTATTCATAAGTTTATTTGAGAATTATCTTGATGTGAATTTTAAACACCATAATTGAAAATGTGAGATTATTTGGAAATATTCTTTTTAGAAAAAAAACGGTACAAAATACTCCATCAAATATTTGGTTATTCAAGATTATTTTAACTTTTGTAAAAAAAAAGTTTAACTTTTAATATACACATGTGTTACAATATAATCTGATCTTTTATATTGAAATGGCTAAATTACTTCTTTGGAAATATTTCAACAATTTTTGAAATGTGAATTGGACATTCTCCAATTAATCGTTTATGGTACTTGGCTCACCTAGCTCTCTGCAGTACACGTACTCCAAATAATTTATGTAGCAGATACAAGTAGTATTGCTACTAATTTGACATCTTACAAAAGTTTAAATATTGAGATGACGTTTTTCTTAAAAAAGAAAGGTAAGAGGGCCACAGTTTTTGCTCAATGGTAGTACTTTTATGCCATTGATATGCTATTAGACATGCGTGTCAGTGTGTCACATGCACGATGTGAAGAAGGTCCATTTTCCTCCATGAAATGCACGTACCATTACGGTACTATTGGAAAGGTTGCTGGATTATAATTAGAATCAGGTTAATGCTCTTTTAACTATGAGTATTTTGGTATCTTAACTCTTAAATGAATTAAAATGGTATCATAATTATAAATAAATGTTTCAGATTGATTTTATTTAAATTTTTAACAAAAAAGTCCTTTATGACAATCAAAATTTCATGTGTAGAGCCAGAGACGGATGTATGTGTATGGGTAGGGGGGCCATGGCCCCTCCCAACTTTTTTATTGTTTAGTAATACTACTATTATAAATGAAATAATCAGTAAAGATTGGATCAAAATTACTCAATAGAAGCTTTTATGTGAGATGCTTTCGGGTAAAAATTTTTGATGAAATTTTGTGAACGTGTATTTCATCAAGTGTATATTATATCCATCGTATTTCAGCTTACATGCAATTGGAGAGTCAATTAAATAAATTATGGAAAAACATTGAGTTTTTTTTATATATTTTTTGGTACAGTGTTTTTCAATAATTTATTTAACTGATTTGTCGATTGAATTTTAAACTGAAATTAGGTGTGAATAATCTACACATCATGAAGAATATTGTCATAAAATTTCACCCAAAAAATCCATCCGGAAGCACATCAAACACAGACATCCGGATGGTGGATCGCGTCATGTAATTTTGAAAGGATCATTCCTCATTAAAAATATGAAAAAATATGTTTTACTCCTTGAATAGATCTTATTTAGTTCTATTAAAAATTATTTGATTAAAGTTTCCCAAAATAGGAGTCAATAAGTCCTATTTTGAGATTAAAACAATGATAATCTTGTTTATAAACTTTTTTGTCCTATTTAGAGATTTTTTTCTTTAGTGTTTGTGTTTGTTCTTGGCCCCCCTTATGACTGAGTTCTGGCTCCGTCCCTGTGTAGAGCCACCCTATAGTGGTCATATGGACAAAAATAAGGTGAAATAGACTTTACGCATAGAATTCTGATTGTCGCATGTAATTTTTGGTCGGAAATTCGTATAAATTCTCAATTCTAAACATTTATGTATAGTTAAGGTCCCATTTTGATTCATTTAAGAGTTAAGGTACCATTTATGCATTTAACCCGCTGCAATATTTATATATAGTTAAGGTACCAAAATGTAACATTACAATAGTTGATGAGGTACCAAAATGCAGTATTTAACCCGCTGCTATCCGCTGCTATCTCCTTTAAGAACCCTTTACTTCTCTTCACAACACAACTTCGGCTTTTCTTTTCCCTCCTGAGTCCTTTTGTGCAGTTAATTAACTTTGTTCACTTTATTGGCTGAAGTCCAGAGTCTATAGTAATTTGGAGAAGTAGTTTGGGGTAAGTAAACAGATCAGTCTAGACTGATCTAAATGGGGTTCCAAAAAATAACTTGGCACAGTTTCAGCATCCACCAATTGGACCAGATGTTTCCTGTCAGAGTAGTTTGGCTCTACCACCACTAAGATTGTAGCTATTGCGGCTGGAGGACATCTCAGTTTTGCGCTTGCAGGTAGGGAAATACTGTTTATTTTCCTTGTTTGATGCCTATGATCTGTGATTAAATGCTTACATATCTTGAAGACTTTCCGGGATTTTTCTCTATAATGATTCTTCTATTGGTCTGTCTATGTTAAAATCTGTCTATGGAAGTACCGCTGGCAGACCAGAGCCTGAGACCGCCCACTGGCAGTGGAGCAGCTGCGAGCGCAGGCTGAGGAGCACTCGAGCAGCACAGGTGGCGGTGACAGCGAGTTGGCGCTGGTCAGCCCAAACTTTTACTTTTAATTTGTGCTGTGCATTCTCCGGATCCTGGCAAGTTCTAAACCTTGTAATCTTGTTAACACTTTTCTAGTACGGTAAATAGGGACGCAATTGTGATCGATTCGATGGATGTCCGCACTGAACCGATCAATATACTCGCATCGATCCGATCCGGTCAAAATGGGGAGAACCACATTGACAGGGTAAAGGATATGCGGTTGTGTTATCAAAATCGGACCGGTTGATGACCCGGAAAAGTGACCGGGTCAAGGGTCAACCTGGTCAACGGTCGAAAACCCGGTCAATATTTTCTAAAAAAATAAAATATAAATTATGTATTACTTTATTTATTATCAAATTAAGGAAATGTTTTATATTTATAATATTAATCTTAATAATTAATAATCACAATACATATTCAGTAGGGATTAGTTTAATGAGAAAACATGTAATGTGATTTTTTTAGATACTAAATAATGATAGTTGTACTTTAAATATATTGAAGCTTCACGAGGTAATACTAAACAAAGAACCCATATGACCAATCAGCTTGTGTAGTGCAACGGATTAGAGAGCATGGAGGTTAAGAGCACAACTGGGTTTGTTGGTTCAGCCGGGTTAGGCGGTTTCGGTCGGGTTCCGGAACGAGTTTGGGGGCGGGTTTCGGCCAGGCCATCGGGTTTAAGCGGGTTTTTAGTCATTTGAGAGTTTGGTGCTAACCGGCCCGGTATTCCAAGCGGTTTGCCGGGTTCCAGGTCAACCCGCCCGGGCCGGTTCGGGTCTGATAACGTAGGTATGAGGCAGGGAATGCTTGTTTTATTTGTATGGGTAACCGTTAATTTCATTTAGTAATACTTTTGGATAAAGTCTCAATAAATAAGTATAACTGTATAGGTAGGTAATGCTCCATCAATAATATATATTCATCATATATATACGTAGTATAAGCACATGCATGACTATAATAGGTAGCTGGAGAAATAAAAAAAAAGGGCTCACAAAATGGAAGAGGCTCAAATATATGAACCCAGATTGCTTCGAATGCCACAACAAT